CGAGAGGGAACCTCGTATTCTTCGAAGGATCGTGCCGGCTAGCGTGGGACGAAAGAAGGCGGGCAGACAGAGTAGAAGTGACTTTTCGCGCATCGAAAGCGGACCAAAAGAGGCGAGGCGCGGTAGTGACGAGAGAGAGATCAACGCGGGACGAGGAAGTGGGACAGATGGCTGAGAAGATGGGGGCGCTCGAGATTTTGCTGAATCTGCTTGACGTGCACCCAGAGTTAGGAAGTACCGCGCCGCTCATGCAGTCGGTCAAGCAGGGACGGTGGGCAGTAGTGTCGAGGTCGGAAGCAACAACAGCGTTGAGAGACATGGCGAGAAGAGTAGGAGAAAACCCAACGCACTTCGCGCTACACTCAGGGAGGATAGGTGGTGCGACGCAACTAGCAAAGCAGGGGGGGGGGGGGGGGTCTTGACGGTGGTGGTGAGGCCGTTGCCGGGGACTGCTCCTGCGTCCGTGGACAGCGGCTCTTCCCTGGGAGGTGTGTGAGATCGTGCGAGAGAGTCTAGAGAGAAAGATGTACAGCAGTACAATCGTGAAATCGAGGAATGATTGCCTATCCCCTTTGGGGTGTGTGTGCTCATACCCGTGAATGCCGTAGTCATTAGACCATTGACCTCGCATCCCTACAGATATGGGCGAGGGGCATACTAATGCTTTGCGTGCCTTAGTTGTTGGAACATTGATCACTCAAGAAGAGGACGGAACATTGTTCCCACAAGAACCGATCACCGATGCCCAATTCCTTCCTACTTCGCACAAGGTGGCTCAACAATGTGTTGGGGCGAGGGGGGGGGGATGCGAGTTTCGGAGCTCGATTGCTGGTTCACACCCGAGAGGGTGCGAAGACCGCCCAGACCGGTTCTTGCGCAACGGGACATACCGTAGGTGACATGACGTAAGATATCACACCCCCTGGGCCGATTTTCTAAGCTTCATTACTCCTCGACGAAGGCGATGGATGCCACATCAGTCAAAACGAATGGTGCGTTTTCGGAAAGCCCGGGACGGTTCCAACGTCGCCGTTTTCGGCACCACCGGCACTCGTTCTGCTGCGGAATCATCGAGCTTTGAAAAATCAGTCAAGGGGGTGTGATATCTCGTGTCGCCTCGGCGGTAATAGATCGTTCCCAAGATCGCTCGATCTTTTCGGGCAAAAAAGTGGCATCCTTTTGATTATTGCGGAGCAACCGAGCGAGAACTATGTATGATGAAGAGTATGGGTGTTGTGTGCGACGACTCTCGCACTTTTTTTTTTTTTGGCGCTTCTGATTTTTGCGGCACCGCATCGACCGCTTCACCCACCAAGCGTCGCGTTCGCCCGTGTGCTCTCTCTCCACCACGGCCCTTCTCGCCCCCTGCCCCGCTGGCGTGTGATTGATTCTCCCCCCCCCCCCCAAAAAAAAAAAACCGGGGAAAACCACCAAACAAAACTTTTGCCAAAAAAAAAGCACGTGGTCTCATT